GGGTCTGAGAACAAGTCTAAAAATCACATAAAGGCTGTGTGGGAACAAGATAGGCAAAAGGGTTGAGAACTTGACCTTTAACAAATAAAGTCAGAATAGGAATGTGATGTTAATGAAATTATGATTGGTTAAAAGTGTAGGTTAAACTTACAACAATCATCTCTCCTAAAATTTCCTTTAGAAACAACACAAAAACCATTGCCCTGGTCAAGAGATATTTCTGTAGGTTCACATCAAGACGCATGGAAGTGTATCATGTGGCCAGAACAATCTGTAGGACACACTGTGTGCTATTAACAGGAGTGATAGTTTGGCAATTTTACACTTTCTGTAGCTTGGACTGTGGTAATCCAAACTATCACATAAAGAGTTGTTGTAGCTATGGTGGGCAGGGCTGCCCAACCCTTTCGTACAGTATGACTACTGCCACCTGGCAATAAATATCACTATAAAAATCTTCACCATAAGCATGAAAACTTTTTTGTTGATGCCACAGTACAGTTTACTTTGCAATTAGCTTGTTAGAAACAAATATTTTTTTCTGAAAAGTCCACAGGAAAACACCAGCACATGAAACTGAACAAATGGCCCAGCCAAGCTTATTCACTTATACTTAGTGTGGCACATCAGACAATATCATTCACAGTGGATTCCATACAAAGCCTATTTTTTCAAGTAAATGTTTATGTAGTGTGTGAAAATATTTTCAAAATTTAACAGATATCTAAAATATAAAAGTATATTAATGTGTTTTTTTGCATGAAACTTCTTTTTTAGTCTCACTGTGACTAATTTGTATCATTTATCTGCTGTTAAAAATAGATCAATGAGAAAAATGAAACTCAGCCTAGATTAAAATTTCACTCTGCCTTTATGTGTTTGCCTAGTGAATGCTCATGTGAGTGTTTTATCAGACTTTCCAAAAGAATTTACAAATTTCTAAAGTTATTAAAATTATAAACATGAAAGTAAGAACCTTTTCTTTTTGCCTGGCCAAGGGGGTGGGGGTATAATAGCAACAGCTAATGGCATGTACACATATGAGCTAGAATGATTTTTCCACCCACCATTCAAATCACCCTAGCTACAACCCTGTATACAAACATACCTTAATGACTCTCCTGTATGGCTATATACATATTTCTTGTTGATATTATTACAGTACTATCTGCATGTACACATATCTGAATTATTTCTACAAGTATCCCTTTCTGTGCATGTCAGAGTATTACAATTTCATTCAAAATAGTATTCAGCATTTTTACAATTAATGTTTGTCAATGAATTTAGCATTATAATGAAGTTTATAATTCAAAGTTTCATATCATCTAAATTGTTATTCCTTTATTTCTAAAGAAACCATTAAAAAATACTTAAGCTCCAGTTTTGCTGTCAAGTGACATACAAACTTTCACAATTCTTAACTTTTAGTTTCTATAAGTTAAATAATACTAGGCCTAGACTGTATATGTACATATAGACACAATCTATGTTTACTATGTTATTTACCTGTGCTTGTTTGAAAGTCCTTCAGTTCAATTTACTGAACACAAAAAATAAGTTTTGCCATGACATGCAAGAAGCTATGCTCACCTTCAATCACTTAAGAGTTGAGATTTCCAAACCACATGTACTTATTTGCAGTACATGTTTATGATCAACATTATTTTAAAGTTCCCAATGGTCATTTTGTAATTAGCAAGCATTATCCATTATCAAGTTCAACTAACTTCCAATAGTGGTGAAGCTGTTTCATCCTCCATAGCATTTACCATTTTTCTTATCTACATAGATGTTAGTAAGATACAATTAAATTGTACTTAGGTTTTACTTCTACATTTCAGTGAATTATGTATCATATACATTTCAGAATGCATGTTTGAAAGTTTTAATAATATTTTTAATATAACCCAAACTTTGCCCCACTTCACAAGGGTTAACTTAGTGACACAAGTGCAAAAACGTTTAGCCAAAGGCTTGTGTGTCTCTGCCGATAATGCCATAACATGCTGGGGTCTTCCCGTTGTGGTATGTTGTGATGAATAATAAAAGGTAAAGGACAGTCAAGAAAACTATAACTTTGAAAATAAATTATAAGTGAAAAGGTAAAAAAAGAAATTATGAATATTACCAAAAGAAGATATTGTAAAAATTATTCAATGAATAATTAAAAGGTATGTACATATTTGTATTTCTTAATTTCAAAAATTTTATTCTACTGTAAATTGATGATAATATGGTAGAGAAAATGGAAAATGAATATATACATTTACCTTAAAAAAGCTTTTCATATACAGTTAGGAGGTTCTAGAGGTTATGTAAATGAAATACAAAAACTGTCAGATGAAAAAATTATTTATAATCTTAACATGAAAATTACCTTGCATCTGGACTCATCAAAGTCTGAGTGAAACTAACTAAAATAAATCCAGAAATAAATCTTTAGTATAAATATTTAATTTAAAAATCTTATTTGTTGTACACAAAATACTTGAAATCTTTAATAAGGTCTTACCAAACTTCATTATGAAAGTTCAGAGTAATGGTATGTATAGTTTCACATATACCTTGTTGTCACTAGTTCATGTATTTTATACAGGCTCTACTAAAAAGTGTTATTGAGACTACCAAAAGACTAGGTAAACATATCTTAATGAGCCTAACATAGATCTAGATATACAGTCTTAATATGAATACTTCAGTATACATACCTTGATGAGATTGCTGTAAAACTGTATTCATATATCTTACACTATAGGACTAGGTACAGTTAAATTAATAAGACTATTGTAGGACTATGTACACATACCTTGATATGACTACTGTAGTACTCATATCTGAAGACTTATGTAGGAATAGGCATACACACACAATGATGAGACTATTGTAGTACACAAACCTTAACTCTCTCAATACAAGATCGGTCAATTTGACCGATCACCTGACCTTTTTGTACTCTTATAAAGTCTTTATATATTTAATACTTATAACTCTCAATATAGTGTTCACAAAATTTGGCAGTCTTTCAGTTAACATTAAAAGTCTTTCACATATAAAAAATTATATTTTTTAGTGAAGTATTTTTAATAAAATAAAATAAAGATTTGTCCATGAATATATTGAGAATTTGTTTTGAATAGTCCGTGTGCAAAATAATTTTCAGGTTAAAATTAAAAATACTTTTACTCATCTCAAAAATCTCAAGTTTCCTTTCTGTATTCCCTAAAACCTCCTAAACGCATTTCAAATG